TTTTTTTTACAAAGAATTTCGAAATCTTCGAATTTATCGAACCTGAAGTAAAAAAATATTCGAAATATTCGAATTCGGAATTTTAGAAACCGTGAAAGCTTCGAAATTTTCGAATTCGAAACTCCGCTGTGGACAAAAGTTGCGAATTTTTCGAAATCGAACCTCGGTCGGTACGAAAATATCGAAATTTTTCGTAATCAAACCTCAGTTCGCTTCGCAAATATCGAAACCTTTCGAAATCGAACCTAGGGTGGTTCGCGACATCCCTAGTGGAGACACAATTTTAGAACAAGCATTCTACACATGAACCATCTCTTTGTCAAATGAGGGCCGAGAAACGGAACATAGCTCGCTTCGTTCCTGGACGAAGCCCAGAGCGGGCTACCTCCACATAAATTGCGTGCAACAGCGTGGATATTGTGCAAACAAGTGTTATTTTTCGTGAAAAAATTAAGAAAAAGAAAACACGTTTTTCAAATAAGAATTTTGATGATACGAATCTTACGGGGTTGCGGAAAATATTTGTATAATCCGAAATTTCTATGAACAACGGACAAGCCAAAACAAATACATCAAAGCAAAAAGGAGCCTGGAGGCATATTTGCCATTTATTGGTCATACTCCCAGCCAAAGGAGTCACAAATTTTCTTCTGGGTCTTTTTTTGTTTTCAATGTCACCCGGGAGACACTTTTGGAATGTATAAAAACGTGTGCATGTGTCGTCACCTTCTTAAACCACATCAATAGGACTTCTTCAAGCTTCACATTCACGCCGAAATGCTGGACGTTTTTCGTTATCCTTTCTCGTTGACCCATGATGGTGCAGGGGGTCGACTGTGCCAGGCCTAACTCCTTTGCTAAGATTGCGCGTTTCCTTTTCAAGTCCTCGTCCACTTTCCTTAAAACTTCCAGGTTCTCCCTGAAGGACAGCGCTTTCCTCTTGTGAGACATGTTGAATCGTGTTTCCTTTCACATGCTGGGCTGACGATAAACGTCCTTCCGAAAGTGGGTTCAAAAAAAGGAAAAAAAGAGTTCATTGTTTGACGGACAGTTCTGCCATCTTCGGCAATCATGTAATCATTGCTGATTCCAAATGTCTCTTCTCATGTTCACTCGAGCGACAGAGAGTCACTAAAGCCGGCTTATTATGCGACAACAAAACTAAAGCAGCAACCCTGCATGTAGGTGAATGGGAGTTATTCAAGCAAGTTGAATCCCGTGACAACACAGTTAGTGGAGCAGTGCCGCACTTGGGCATGTTTTCGAATTTTCGAATGCAGTCACCAATGTGAATGCACGGCATGTACGTATTTACTCGAATCTAACGTGCCCTAAATTGTGACGCGCACCCATTTTGCCGTGGTTGTAACATGCACCCATTTTTCGAGGTCCGAAAAAAAAAAAAAAAAAAATGCGATGACCTTGATTGTTACGCGCACCAGATTTTGTAGGTTGGATACAGAAATGAAACATTTTCTAACTTGGAACAATAAAGGTTTATTGCAAATGCTTTAATCTTGCGATGAAATGAACAGCGCTGTCTCTCGCCGGCAAAGTCGTCATCACGACGACGGTCCGGTGCAGCGCCCGTGGGGCGGTATGCATCACTCGTCATTGTTGTTGGATGACTCCTTATCGCTGTCAGTGGCCCAAAGCATTTCATCTTCGGTGCCGTCCATAGCGTTAGAAATTCCGCATTTCTTGAAGGCCTTGATAACCATGGCAGACAGGATTATGCACCACGCATCTTTCACCCATCGCACGTGATGCGGCCCGATTTCCATTGCTCTCCGCACACAATATCACTTTTCTTTTGAGTCCAGCATCATGGTGAATGCGGCGTGTCTTTGCAGTGGGAACTTCCATGGTGATACTAATGCAAGAAACACACGAGCTGGCTACACAGCTTCTCAGCCGTAATGGAGTGGCCATTTTGAAATGTCGATGGCGATATGGTAGCACAGTTTTGGGTCACGCTCGATTCTAGTGCGCATGCAATTTTTGAACCTATTTCTCCGGAAAAAAGATGCGCGTTAGATTCAGGTATGTGGTATGCAGAAAGAACAGTGAGAAAAATGACACAAAATCGCTTGCAACGGCTGTAGAAGCCAAGTGATCCCCCTTCCCCTAGAGAAGGCATAAACAATGTATGCTACCTTCTAGAGACTTGCACATTTGTTTGTATAATCCACCGCGGCCTGAGACGGCATTTATCGTCTCCTAGAGAAGGCGTAAACAATGTATGCTACATTCTCGAGACCTGCACATTCGTTCGTATAATCCACCGCGGCCTGAGACGGCATTTATACTATTCCGAGTAGTTACGCATTTGCTTTGAGGGACTTTGGCCGGGGATTCTGAAAAGTTTGTATCATCCCTAAATTCGGATAAGCTGTGATCATATAGTATCAAAATTCTACTGTGAACCCTTCAAATTTTTTTTTTTTTATTTTAGTTTGTTTTTAAGGGACACTAAAGAGTGACGTACATGAAAACGCCCCAGTCAGTGCCGAAATTGGCCCGTTGCATTACTTATTTCACATACTTTGCGAAATACACCTTCTGGAAGAGGGGGGGGGGGGGGGGGGGGAAGGGAGCGAGAAATAGGGAATTGAGGAAACGAAGGTACCATATTTACTTCCATAATGAATGCACCGTCCGCAACGACTACCAATATTTGGTACTTGTTGTAAAGATGCACCACCAATTTCTGGTTCCGCGAGTCTCAAATTGCGTCCAATTTAGCTAGCCACCAAGCCAATATTCTTTTGCCGCCAGGCGGTCAGGCCAAATCAAGCCAAGCCAAGCCGCTCTTGTAATGGCTGCAAGTTTGAGTTGCGGAACTGATCAACCTTGAAACCGAGCTGCACGCGCACTACATGAAGCTTGGGTCGAGGAATTGCCCAGCCCGGGGACATTTTTTGCCTATCGGACGCATTGAGGTCAACAAGCACGCTGTCATCTGTGGTTCGCTTTCGGACAGTGAAATCGTGAAAGAGGTTAAGCCTATGAAGCGGTTAAGCCTGTGTTGCTCTTTGTGCTAAGTGTTCTTGGTAGGGCGCTTTTCTTTCGGCAATTGGCACGCCGAAAGCGCCCTAAAAGAATTGCAATTTAAAAAATTGGGTTGTGTGTGTGTTTATACAGCCTAGAACTTGGTCTGCCTCAACGGGCGATGATTCTCCCAGCTGTAGATGAGCAATTGAGCCGGTGCAGTGAACCGCTAGCCTGTAGTCTTTAATGTGCATCATGCAGTAGTGATAGACAACTGCATGCGGGTATGATGCTCATCCAGATCGAAATGGGCAGGGGTGGGGATTGAACCCAGGATCCTGGGTTCTGTAGCGGGAGCTTTCGCTCTACGTGCTCCGAGCTGGTGTGTGCCCACTCAGCCATTGATCCCCCGAGGTTTGCAATTTATAAAGCATGGCTACCGTGGTGCGCTCTAAACCAGCCGTGGGTGCACTTCCATCAGTGGAGACTTGCCACAGTACCTCGCAGTGTCATATTGGCACCTAATATGACATTTTCACGAAGTGTGTAAATGAAAAAATATGACCCCGCGTAATTAATGTGCCCCCCCCCCCCCCCCCCCACACACACACACAAATAAGTGTAAATGTTTTTGGGAAAAAAAAAGTGTTCATTATGCAAGTAAATACGGCATGTAAATTGTAATGCACTTCTTTTTGCAGAAACCAGCTCATATAAACATAGACTCATTTATGTTCCACACTTTATATATGTAGAGTCTTTATTCTAAGCCCTTATTTTTAGACAAAGTGGAAAAAAAATGATATAATTTTGAATATATTTAAGGTGAAGCTTGAGAATGTCTGTACGACACTGCGAAACGCGGTTAGTGGGGACCATGCACAATATTTACTTGATGTTACAAGTTATCAACGCCAGATGTTTCAGATGACATCCTAAGGAAGCTTCTACCTATATGAATAAAACTTTCGGGAACAAGCTAGGTAAATACGTGCAGTTTTGTCTCATTATTATGTATGACTTGCACTACAGACAATATTTGATGGGAAGTAGATGTTCATATTAACACGACATCTCTGTAGTTTTCAATACTTGGGTTTGACAAAAAACTAAATAATTTTTGTGAACATAGTTTCAATGCTAAAATAGAAAAATAACAGTGTCAGCAGTTAGAACAGGATATATGTATATAACAGCTCGGGCAAAACTTCATTATATACAGTTCAGAAAACACTGGTCACACTATCCTTTAAAATACGTTTGGGCACATAAACTTGTACCTCACAAGGCCCGAACACATGAAGAGAACATTTATCAACAAATAATGAGAAAGTTAGCATGAGAATGATGCATTGTCATGTATTGTAAGATTTTCATTTTGTAGGTGATTCTAGTCGTGCATGATCCTTAGGAAGAAGGAAAATTTAAACAAATCTATCTTGCACTCATACTTAGATAGGCCCATTTCGTTCCCAGTGTTGCCAACTCAAAAGTAAAAACATGCTAAGGACCGCTAAATTTAAGGCACAGGCTAAGAACGAACGAACAAACAATTTTTGTGAGAGTAAGCAAAAATGCATGCTGACCTGACTTTCTCCCACCAGACATCTAAAAAAAAAAAAAAACGCTAGATTGCCAACACTAGTCGTTCTGCATCGAGCAAAGGAAAATTGGCGACTCCCTCGCCGGGGGGAAGAGGTGGGGGGTGATGTTTTAGTATTTTTTGCCTGATCCCCCAAAGGTCATCCTGGTGATGTCCCACACCGCCTGGTGATAGTTACAACATCGTGAAAGGGAAGGAAATTGGCTTAGAATGAGAGAGTCACGCTTTTGGTTTTTAGTTTGTAATCTAGGTGGCGATTGCTACCACCTGATATGAAGTGTACAGGTGTTAGCATCCATCCATCCATCACTCCACAGTACCGGCAAATTTCTTTCGGATTTTGTTTGGCTTTATCCGTACTACGTCTGGAGTCCTGACTACAGGTGGGATGCTTTTTCGCTCGCAGGGAGATAGCAGAGCAGGAGGCGGACCACTTACTCGAGAACGGTGATACTGACAAGGACGGCAAGCTTTCGATCCGCGAGATCGTCGACCACCACGACCTCTTCGTCGGAAGTGAGGCCACCGACTACGGAGAGCACCTCCACAATACGAGCAGGTTCACCGATGAACTCTAGGACCCTTTCGTGCTGCCTCCAGCCCCTTTTGTTTTACGTGCGTTTCTTTTTGTTTTTGCCCTCATCCAAAGAATGAGCTTCCGAACAAGTGCTTTTAGTTTCCTTTTAGTTTTCGGATTGTATGTGTGTTTTTCTATGCCGTCTGTTTGGTCCTTCGCGATTGCATGTGTGTTTGTGTGGATGCTTGACGGAAAAAGGACTGATATTCGTCCGGACGCCTATTTGGAACGTCTGTATTGAATGATCTGAGTTGTGAACAATAAATATAATGAGTCTCAGGAAAAGATATTGTAGACGTTGCTTATAAACACTCTTATATGTTTGTCTTCATAAGGAAGCACATGCCCTCGTCTTTTCTTCGTCATTTTGTTATTTCACTCAGTTACCAAAGCCCTCCGCATGATGATGATCTAGCCTGGAACGGTTTTTCTCTTTCACCCGTGAATTCATCTGAAAGCTTGTGCACCTTGAGCTGCACATGTGCACTCCTCGTATCTTCGAAAATGCCACAGAGAGTTGTTCTCAAGCATAGAAACTTAGTTCATGTGCATGCCGGTCCGCTCAAAATAAAAGAAAAAAAATAAGGTGCTGAGGTATTTGTTATTTATTTATTTATTAATTTTACTCTCGGGGCCAAAAACAATACAAAGGGGAGTCACGAGTGGTGTCTTTTTTTAATATAAACAGAGGAGAAAATTACAAATTTTATAACCATAGGAGCAAAATATATTTAGTTAAACAGTGAAAACACAAAAACAATAATTACGCAAAAGAAAACACATGATTACTAGGTGTAGTGAAAAGAACGGAATCAACAATTGATGCATGGGATGTAGTAAGTAGGCAATTCCAGTCACTTGATACTCTAGGAATGAATGATGAGTAAAGTCTGTTGTAGTGACAAAATGTGATGGCAACATTATGATGATGATCAGGACATGCTGAAACAAATGATGGAGGATCAATTAGCTGATTTCTGAGCACAGAGTTATGATAAAAAATTTTGTAAAAGAGACACAGGCTTGTGATTCTGCGGCGATGTGCGAGGCTGGGAAGATGTAGGCTGTTTTTTTTATTGATGTTATACCAGTGGTGCAATTATAGTTCGCCAATATGAAACATACAAATTTGTTCTGGACGGATTCAGGCGACTGTCTAAGGAAATAGTACCGGGATTCCAGATAGAGGCTGCATATTCAAGTTTTTAATGCACCAATACTTTATAAAGATAAGGCTTTAACAATAAAGGAGCTAAAATAAATTACGTTCAAGATAACCAAGCATGCGGTTGGCGTTATTAACCATGTATGTAACGTGCTCGTCCCAGGTGAGATCAGAGGTTAGTATTGCGCCCAGATATTTGTACGAGTCTACAAGTTGTAATGCTGCGTTTTTAGGGTCATAAGCAGTAGTAAAAGTAGGTGTACGAGCCACACGCAATAATTTACATTTATTAGTATTTAGTTTCATTTACCACAGTTCACGCCATTTAGTTATATAGTTTATATCATGCTGTAATTGTTTTGAGTCAGAATCTTTAGAAATTATTTGGTAAATAGCACAGTCATCACTAAGTAATTTTATTGAGCATAGATATTTGACATAGGTAAGCCTTATTTAAGTTTCAGACAGATTTTTTTTTGGCCTTGTGAGTTTGCTGGGGTGAAGTAAATGTCCTACATTATGATTGTCGGCCGTGTGTGCCAACAAACAACATTTGTTAAAAAGTACTTTTTTAACAGGTTGTTAAGAAGGTACTTTTGACAAAAATCAAATTCTTCTATTTATCATGGGGGCGAATTTTGGTGATTTGCCACGTGAAGATTTTTTTTTTTTTATTATCCACTTATTTGGCCTAAATAAACAACCGGCTACAAATCTCGAATTGAAATATGCCAGCTAAATAAAAAATACTTTAAAGGTTAGTTTGCGCATTTTACTTAAGTTGTTAATTTTTTCGTATCCTTGTGCCCTGACGTTCGCCGCGGTCAATAAAGTTATTTTGCAGGAATATATATAGTATATATAATATGCAGTTTTTTTTAACAGATTTGCTATGAAAAGCCGTAAAAGTTACACTAATGCGGTTCGTACAGGTGAGTTATACGGCCAGGGGGACATAGTATAGGGGGCTAATCGTAAAGATCATTCGGCTAATTAATTAAGATATGTAAATTGACTTTTTAATTAATGAAAATAGACATGGTTCCAAATAGAAATTTTCTTAACATCATCGAAAATCACTATATCAACTCTTTTTAGAAGGATATAACGCTCAATTTGGACGCGTTTCTAAGTTTCGCTTTCTTATCGGAGCGCATCTTCGCGCCCGCAGTCCTGCCCCCCGGTGGTCGCGGCGCGAAGTCAACCCCTCGCCTCCCTCGTAGCATCGAGGGAAGTTGAGCGCACGTGTGTTGCGCTTCTCAGCGACTGGGGAGCAGGACAGCGGGCGCAGAGGTGCGCTCCGATAAGAAAGCGAAACCTAGAGTCCAAATAAACGTTCTTACGGAACGTTGTAATATACTGCTTTGCGTCATATCCTTCTAAAAAGAGTTGATTTAGTGATTTTCGATGACGCTAAGCAAGTTTCTGATTGGAACCATATGTCTATTTTCATTAATTAAAAAGTTAATTTATGAATCTTAATTAACCGACTGGTTGTTACGATTAGCCAACTATACTCTGTCCTCTAACCGTATAACTCACCTGCACAAACCACGTTAGTGTAACTTTCACCTTTCTTTTTTTTTTTAAAACGAATCTGTTAATGTATATCAAAAACACCTGGTATATATACACCAAATCATGTTTACAAACAAACTGGAGCGAAAAAATAGTCAGAGTGCAGGCGAGCAGGTGTAAGTTGAACATGATTGTAAACCTGAGACTGGGGCAGGAAAAGAACACAACAGAAGGTAGTAAAAGAGGAGGCAACGTCTCAAATTCAGCTGCAAAGTTCATTTCGAACACGCTTTATATACCCCATCTCTAACGTCGTCTCTAAAAAAAAAAAAAAAACATGACAAGAGGACAATGACACTTGACCTTGGCTGTGGGACACTCACACAAAGAGTCACATTCTAGCATAACCACCGCTACCCGGCGTCCTCTTGTCATGTTTTTTTCTCTTTTTTTTTTGTAGAGACGACGTTAGAGATGGGGTATATAAAGCGGGTTCGAAATAAACTTTGCAGCTGAGTTTGAGACGTTGCCTCCTCTTTTACTACCTTCTGTTGTGTTCTCTTCCTGCCCCAGTCTCAGGTTTACAATCATGTTAAACTGGAGCGCCCCTAGCGGACGCCACCGGCGCCGCGCATGCGCGATGGGGGTGTGGGCAAGAAGCTCGCCGTCGCCCATAAACCATTGAAATGTGATGTTGTCGGCGTCGGTGGGAGTCCCCCTGCTCTTTTTCGCGTTCGAATTGTTGATTCTGTGTCTTCCTGGCAATGCCTGATTACTTGAGCGGCGTCAGCGAAATTACCGAGGTTCGTTACACCGCGAAACTTCGCGTAAATAATGGGACATGTGGCGATTCATTCCGCGTGGGCGCCGCAGTATGTACGCTAAAACCTGATTCGCGTGATGAGATTTCGCTCGCAATTTTCAGTCGCGACGCCGCTCGGGCTGCAAAAGTGTGAACCGTAGCTGAGATGGTCGACGTCGATACTGAAAATCGCAAGCAGAATCGGACCAAGTCAATTAGGCATACCAAGTCAGTGATGGTCACTGGTAACAATGATCAACATTTCCTTGTATTTACTGTTTACATCGAGCCTGCTTACCAGCCTTCGAACTGAAGTCTTTTGAGGCCTGCACTTACTTCTTATAGCAAGTACCGGGCCAACATTTGGTCTACGGGCCGGCGTCGTCTAAGAGAGCAGACGACAAGCAGAAACGTTTGAAAGAGCAGACGACAGTTCGAACGATCAGGCGGCTGTTTGAACTTGAAGACGCGCTGAACGTAGTCCGCAGGTGGTCCGCACAATGGTTTTCTGGCGTTCATGTTGGAACAAAACAAATAAATCTGATGGCCGCAAGTATCCGTGAATTCAACCCAAAGTGCTTCCCGCCCAAGCAATCGTTGTCCGACGGCGTCTGCTTTTGCCTTTTCACAGCACATATCTAGATTCTCGGACGAACCAAGCACGTGAAAACTGACCTTCAAACCTTTCTCGACGCTTTTGGTACGGCCCCAGGTCCGGCATTTTGACGAGAAGGCAGGTTTTTATCTGGTTCCCTTCAAAGCAACGCAGGAATACACGTCTGCCATGGGGACTTCTGCCCACAGCCCCAGACCGGAAGTGCGACCGACGCGCCACCACCGCGCCGTGATGTCACAGAGATGAGTTGGTGTATACATATAAGCGCCCAACTCTAAATACTCGAACATAGGTTTAACAAAGCTTATACAAAAGTGCCGCTTGCGTCAGGCTTCACCTCTTTGCACAGGGGTGCTCGGAGAAGCCGCTGATGCGGCTAGGGTGTTTTTCTAAGAGTGCAAATATTCCAAACAATAAAAACAATGGGCATTTAAATATATATATGTGTGTATTTAAATTTCCATTGTTTTATATATTTATATATGAAGTAAGGTAAGTATACAACAGTGGACCGGGAAACGTTAATAAGTCAAGGATGCGTACTGTGAAAGTTACTAATACGAAGTTTATTACGACGTTTCGAGCGGGGACCGCTCTTTATCATCTGATAAAGAGCGGTCCTCGATCGAAACGTCGTAATAAACTTCGTATCAGTAACTCCGGCAGTACTCATCTTTGACTTATATATATGTATATATATATATATATATATATACAACGGGCATGGTGGCGGGGTCCGAAGGCGTGGGTATAGAAGAAGAAAAGAATCCTTAGTGAAAGCAGCAACAACAGACGATTTATTCTTCGATGTTTCGGCCGGAGTCCGGCCTTCGTCAGAAAACGAAGGCCGGACTCCGTCCGAAACGTCGAAGATTAAATTGCTGTTTTCACTAAGGGTTCTTTTCTTCTTCTTCTTCTTCTCTCTCTCTCTCTCTCTCTATATATATATATATATATATATTAATTGTCATTGCTTTTATTGTTTTTAATATTTGTCTTAGGAAAACATCCTTGCCGCATCAGGTGCTTTTCTGAGAACCCATCTGCAAAGCGGTGAAGCCTGACGTGAGCGGCACAATTTCAGAAGTTTTGTTCAACCTATGTTCGAGTATTTAGAGTTGGGCTCTTACTGAAAAACAGGAGGATGCACGGTATTTCACGGTATATATATATATATATATATATATATATATATATATATATATATATATATATACTTACATACAGGGTGTCGTAAAAAAATTACAGCTTTTTTTTTTTTTACCGCAAAAATAAACTAGGCACCGCCGAACGCTCATTCTCCGTCTAAAGGTAGCGCTAGAGGTCAGAACCGGATGCCAAAGTTTCAGCCCGATCCGATACCTTACTCAAACGTTATGAGTGATTTTCTGAAAATTTCAATGGGAAAATGGAGCCCATTTTTGCCCGTTTCCGGTTTCTGGTGCTATAGAGCCCCGTGTATTCGAAAACTCCGTCGGCCGTCATTTTCCCGTTGATATTTTCAGAGAATCACTTATAACTTTTGAATAAGGTATCGGATCGGGCTGAAACTTTAGCATCTCTTTGTGAAATCTAGCGCTACCTTTGGGCGGAGAATGAGCGTTCGGCGATGCTTTGTTTTCTCGCGGTAAAAAAACAAACAAAAAAACTTTGTACATTTTTTGTGACACACTGTATATATATACAGGGTGTTTTTTTCAGCTTAACAGATTTATTTTAAAAAATCCGTGAAAGTTACACTTATGCTCCTTGTGGAGGTGAGTTATACGGCCAGAAGGACATATTATAGGGGGCTAATCGTAACGATCAGTCGACTAATTAAGTAAAATTCGTTAATTAACTTAAATAATGAAAAGAGACATATGGTTCCAATTAGAAACTTGCTCAGTATCATCGAAAACCACTAAATCAGTCATTTTCAGAAAGACTTTCGGCGCGTGAGAAGCGTAGTATTGTACTAAAGTTACCGCTCGTGGAGCAGGTACAAGGCTGGGGCTAGATAAGAGACAAAAAAATCGCGCGGGCGCCTTATCCCAACCGCTAGCTTTGTACCTGCTCCACGAGTGGTAACTTTAGTGCATTACTACGCTTCTCACGCGCTCAAAGTTTTTCTGAAAATTACTGATTTAGTGGTTTTCGATGATGCTGAGAAAGTTTCTAATTGGAACCACATGTCTATTTTCATTAATTAAAAAGTTAATTAACGACTTTTACTTAATTAGTCGACTGATCGTTATGATTAGCCCCTTATAATATGTCCCCCAGGCCGTATTACTAACCTCCACAAGCGGCATAAGTGTAACTTTCACGGCTTTTTTTAAACAAATCTGTTAAGCTTTTAAAAAAAAACACCCTGTATATATATATACTATATATCTTACACCGTGCCCCAACCGTGCAACTCACCTGCGTGTTGAGGATGTTTTTTGTTTTTTTTATCAGTTTGTAAAGTTGTATAGAAACAACCACCTTGTATATATTATGAGCGACGTTGAAGCTGCACACCCCTACATCACACTGATGACTGTTTTCGTGATCTGGGGCATGTATGCTGCAGCTGTTAACACAAAAAATATATCTACATTTTTTTTATCTGTTGTTGAGAGCAACAGATGTTTGACGCACCGAATCGGAGCCTCGTCCTTCAGAGCACACCCAATCTCTAATCTATAATGACGTCTAACCAGTTTTGCCTTGCACTCTTGCAGCTAACGTTAGCAGGCAACAAGAAGGAAAATATGTGGAAAGCTAGTACGGCGATCAAGAAAGCAGCAGACAGCGGAGCCCAGATGGTCTGCTTGCCTGCGGGCTTCGCATGCCCCAACGGCAGCCGGAACTACCTGCAGTCCGCCGAGACCGTTCCGGGGGAAACCAGCGAAATGTTGTCGCACTCCGCGAGGGAAAGCAACGTTTACCTCGTCGGTGGTACCATGATCGAACAGGATGGCGGAAGCATGTTCAAAACGTGCCTCGTGTACGGTCCCGACGGTTCGCTGGTTGCCAAGTACCGGAAACTGCACTTGTTCGACATCGACGTCCCAGGCAAGCTAAACCACCGCGAGTCGGACGTCATAACACCTGGAGATAAGCTCGCCGTCTTTGAGACACCCTTCTGCAAAGTAGGCCTCGGCATTTGCTACGACATTCGGTATCCGCAGCTGGCGCAAGCATACGCTGACCTCGGTTGCAAGCTATTGGTGTTTCCCGGTGCCTTCAACAGGACCATGGGCTCGCTTCACTGGGAGCTGCTTCAAAGAGCAAGGGCAGCGGACAACCAGGTATATGTGGCAACGGTATCGTCTGCAACGAACGAACTGTTGTCGTATGTTGCTTGGGGACACAGCATGCTGGTGGATCCCCAGGGGAAAGTGGTGCAGTCGGCGGGACACGACGAGGCCGTTGTGATGGGAGTGGTGGACTTGGACCACTTGTCTTCAGTGAGAAAGCAGGAACCTCTGTGGAAGCAGCGTCGGTGCGATATTTACCGCGTACAGTAAGAACCCCTTGCAAAATTGTCATATATGGACCGGATATATTTTATATATGGCCATGTAGTATATTATTAAATCTGAAACAAAAGGCAGTATATCGCCACATGAGGGAGCAAATGGGAGCATATACTGTATGGCCTATATGGTCGTGTATGGTGACAGATATATCCATATGCGGTGTTATTTGACACGCGCAGTGCGTTTTTTATGGAAAATTAATGCCAGATAATTGTTGTACAACCATTAAACGGAAGAAAAAAAACGAGAAAAAAAGACAATTTTAAATTCTGTATAAGGATGGCTAGTTGGTTTTGCATCATGGTGTAATACGCCAAAACAACATGGACGAAAACAAAGGGCGTCCTGCCCAGTTCTTCCTTCCTTTTCGACCATGTTGTTTTGGCGTACTATTACATATCCATGCCCATCGTATCTTTTGTAGAAAAAAACAAACTCAATTTGTGTCCCACAGTGATTTGACTAAAATCTTACAAGCATGAATTCGTAACTGGCTCGCGTATTTTTGTCAGTAACATTTAAAAAATAGAACAAAAAGGTTGTTTCTATATCAATTGTGTAATATATTCACTTGTAGATGCACAAGTTTCCTGGAGATTAAAGAAATATTTATGCTCGTTTGTTTATAATTGTTTTCATGGCTTTATCACCTCAAGGATAAATCAAGATACGCTTGGATGTGCATAAACTAGTCTAATGAGCTAGTGTTTTGCGTTAAAGGTGATGTGCCACGCAACAAAACGTAAGTCAATTCCTTAAATTAGAAATGTACCTTAGCAACTGCAATTTCAAAATTCTGGTTAGGCTTTAAAGGGATACTTCAACAAAATTTGAAATGTACCCGTCGTGTTCAGAAATAGGCTGAATATGATCCAAAACATCAGTAAATGACAATCCCACGTCGTGAGCCTGATGGCTGTATTTATCGTGATAAATGGCCCACTCCGGCAACCGCTCGGGGAGCAGCCAGCGGAGAGCACGTCACATCCGGCGCAATCGTGACGTAGTCTGTCTCGGGATGAGTAAAGCTGCGGCGAGGGTGACGTCGTCAGGATGCCCTAGCCGCTCCAGCCACCGAAGCGGTCGAAGCACGCCAGCCATCGGGCCACCGCAACTAACCGCAAACCTGCTCTTGTGTGAATTTTGAGTGACGGGTTAATCTATAAGCTTGACACTCAAAAAACAACCGCATTTCCACGTGGTGAATGATGCTGATTGAGGCGAAGCTCTGGTGGTGCTTGTCTGCGTAGACGCTGAGCCGCAGCATGCCGAGCCTTTCGTTCGTTTTCATCCATGTCACGCTGCGGTCAAATGCTCAGATGCGTATATAACCACGTTCCATACCACACATTCTCTTTCTGACATGGATGAAAACGAACGAAAGGCTCGGCAGGCTGCGGCTCACCGTCTACGCAGACAAGCACCACCAGAGCTTCGCCCCAATCAGCATCATTCACCACGTGGAAATGCGGTTGTTGTTTATTTTTTTTGCCCTACACGAGCACGGAAGCACGTGCTCGCGTGCTCGTGAGCACGTGAGCGCGTGAGCTTAAGAGCAGGAGCACGTGCACCCGACGGCAGACGGACATACGGACATGGCTAGCCCCTAAGGAGCTTCGCCCCTAAAAAGAGCTAGTCCAGTTGAGTGGGGAATTCCTCCCTCCCCTCTTCCCTTATGTGCTGGCCGTAGAGCTATCGGGATGGTTCAAAGCACGTATAGTTCTTGGCGAGACAGTAATCATCACCACCTGTCAAGGTTCCTAGTCGGGCATTACAAACGAGGCTTTAGCAACATCCACCAGGTGCTCTTTGCTAATCGTTTAATTTGCTTTAAAATTCCTTGTCGTGTCTTTTTTATCAAGATATTGTTGCGTCCGATGTGATACTGCTCATTTGAAAACGTATAGACCCAAAATAAGCGCCGAAATTTCGTGGTAGTACCCCTTTAAGGGACACTGACATGGTATTTATGCTCGCCTATGTTTTATTTGTACATGACACATGAGAAAACAACTACCTAGAACACAATTTTGCGGCTCGAAATTCGTGTTCTTTCTGCCCGAAAAACCGCCGATCGAGAACTGACCGGCCTGAGTCGTCCTCACTCTCTTTTTTGTGGTCACGTGCCTTTTTCTATGATTTAAAGACAACCACCAAGTTTAATCAAAGTCGTGGGTCATCAACGACACACACTCAATATTAAAAAAAATAAATATGATAGCCATTTTTTGTGGCTAAAAAGCTGCAAGTGCGTTGATTAAAAAAACGTTGCACAGCCACGTGACTTCCACTTGCTCTCTCCTTTTCTATATTTCTTCTTCCTCCCCAGTCCAGTTTCGGTTTCGAGCAGTTGCGTTTTTTTGACTATTAAAAATATATGCGACGCTGTAGCAAAAAAAATAAAATCTATTGTGTAGTCTTCTGATACCGTAATGATCGCCCAACATACACAATTTGTTTTCGTTTTCGCCCGGTGATTTAATATAATGTCAGGAGACTGCCCAATTAATATTTTGCTGCAGTGTCACGTATATTCTTATTAAAGCAAAAAAACCCAAAAAACTCAGCGGTTTCAAATTAAAACAAAAACTCAAACGTTAAAAAAAAAAAAAATCACGTCTTTGTGTTTTTCTCTAACACATGCAACATTCGCACAATATTTCCACCATAGCACACATCTCCTCAAGCACGTCTCTTACATCTATTCGAATGAAAGCCTAGGTAGAAACCATTTCAAACAGACAGCGCACTGTCTGAAGGCAAATCTCCTTCTACATGCCTTTCTAGAATGCAGCAGCAACCGCTGTCAATCGCAGCACACTTTGTGGGATCGTTTGCAATTTTTGCTTCGGCGAAAATTTCCTTTAGCGAGGCGTTTCCTCCTACTAAATGCCGGGAGGAAAGCTTGCACCCGGTACGCATCATGTTCGTGAGTGTAGCAAACTTCGTGTGCTCAACCGCTCGGAACGACACGTTCGTGGCGTGTACAAATCTGGCTACTTGCTTGTTTAAACTAGGTTTGAAGCTGGCAGACGTCTGAGCAATGAACGACTCGAAGACTTTCTGCGACGCTCCCTTGGCCTTGAGTGAAGGCCAGCGTGCACCCAGCTTCCTCCCTAATGTCTTTTGTGACGTCTGACCGCATCTGAAGGGGAACAATGGACTACTTCCATAAAGCCCTGCATGCAACACGGCCCGCTTTGCATTCTGGGAACTAGTGGGCCAGGGAGGAGAGTGGTATGGTTTCGGTTTCGATCGACACGTCGACAAGAGATTATACACAGCGTGGACTAATAGCGGCCGTTATCTCAAGTTTTCTGGTCCCGAGAGCGTCATTTGTGGTCTCTAAACTAACCTAAATGGCCAGACCTCGAAGCTTTAGCACAAGCCCGAGACGAATAGCTTGTCTTAACATATGCTTGTTGTATTTTTGTACATGAGCCTTTCTGTTAGCGTTCCGAGGTATGTGGACGAGCCAATGCTGAGAATCTCGACTTTGCGAAGCTCGGGGATCTGACGAATCAACAAGCTGTGGCAACCAATAGGTATGCATACATCGAGCTCGCACCTTTACATTAGTGTTGTTGATCAGGAAGTTTCTTCGTTTCGTGCGTCCATAGACGAAATATAACTTCGAGGTAAAACTCGGAGGCGCCATTGAAAAGCTCAATTTTAACATACTTCTTATCTCTTATCTGTACTGACCCGCAACACTGCACGAAGTGAAGTCCCCACCCGCTTGCATTCTACCAATATTCAACATCGCGTATGCCCATAAAGTTATCCTGCAATCAAAGAAAGCAAAACTCCAGCACTTATGTGAAGAATGTCGCACCGTTCGCCGGAAGTGCGCCGGACGGGCGCGAACCCCTATGCGGTGCGCCAAACAAACGAAAACATTCAAAGCGCATTTGACAGTTGCTAATGATCATACTATGTGTTATGTGTTTGCTTTCTTCCTGACTGAGTATGCCGAGATAATTTCCAGACACACCGTTCAGGCACAGGTCTTGGGCGTCAGTAAGAGCTCATTTAAAAAGGTTTAGCGAGGAGTAGGGGACGCTTGTTAGGGCCTCCGTCGTTGCTAGCCGATCTCAGCGTTTGCAAAAACTTGATCTTCTATCAGCATAAAATTTGTGTCGGAGATATATGAGGACACGAGGAAGACACCATAGTAACTTTTGTGCAGTAGTGAGGTCAAATTTATTGAGTTTCCTTAAAAGTTCACGCGTCAACGCTGGGCTCAACTTTGATACTCCTGTGAGGATATGCGGCTTGCTTTTCGCCCAATGAAGTAACAAAAGCGGACGTTTGGCAAACAAAATATGTGGAGGGCTCAAGGTGACCAAATTTCAGTTGTAGTTCACTGGTGAATTATTGAAATTGAGCCCAAAGATGCCCTCGTGGGATGAGGTGACTAAGCCACGTCTTGCTACGTTTGTATACGCACACACAATATCCGGTGTTTTGGGAACCAAGGAAAGTGCCCCGGTCTTCGTTTTGTATCGCTCGAGAATGTGTGTATTGTACATTCGTAAAAAGTCAGATAATCAAAAACGCAAGCAGCGCGTTCGGTCGCGGCGTGATAGCATGAGATGAAGCTGCTCAGTCGAAACCGAAACTGAGTGGCCAACTAGTTCCCAGAGTGCATGGCGTGGTGTTTCGCCGCAATGGGGCGCGTCGGTTTTGGAAGAAGTCCATTGATCTGAGTCCACTTTAAAAGGAGAGCTTGCTGGTAATTCTAAATAGAAATAATGAAAGAAGCACAAAAGACTTGGTCGGATAATAGCGAGTTTTAGAATAGGAGGCCCCGCAGCTTTGGATGCCCCAAACAGCTTGGGGCATCGCAATGGGCATGCGCAGAAGTTCTGCGCATGCGCACTGGGACGCCCCATGCTGTTTGGGGCACCCAAAGCTGTGGGGCCCCCTATTCTAAAACTCGCTAATACGTTCCCAAACTGGCAGCATACGTTTAATGATCCGCTCCGTCGTGCTAGCGTTTGTTCCTCCGAGGAAGGAGGAGGAAAAAGGAAGCCTGAAAAAACAAAGCAGGCAAGGGATGAAGGAGGACTCTGAGAACACAGAGAGGAGGTGACTAGTAGACAGTGGAGCAGAGGCAGTCTTGTACGCGTTTCTGAAAAATAAGGAACGCGTTACAATTACAATAGATTTACCGAAAAGGTAACTGATTACAGCAATCAATTACTGCATC